ATGTTCAAACTTAAAATTCACACCTCGTGTTTCATTTTAAGTTCAATCCATTTAACAGGGAGAGAGAGAGAGAGAGAGAGAGAGAGAGAGAGAGAGAGAGAGAGAGGGAGAGAGCACCCTGGTTAGTTCACCAACCTTCTTAGTTGCTGCCCAAGCAGTTTCAGAATTGTTCAGATCACTGCAGGGAGAAAAGGAGGAGGAATTGGGCTCCTATCTGCTTGTCATGGGCCAAGCTACCTCTCTGTTCTGGTGTCACAGACTAGAATGAAGGTTCCACTGACTTATATTGTCAATACTGGTGATCGGCAGATCTCTGTATGGCACGACCAAAGCTGTGAGTGGATTTCATAGTGAAAGAGCCATGCCTGAGCAGATTTGAGGCTGCAGACAACTTGCCCATCGATATAAAGCAGTCTCCCTTTTCCCAGAACAAGGCTGCCAGCCTGAGGATGGAGGACATTGAAGGAACAGGGCTCTTCTACCATCCCTGTAACCTTTACCCCACCTTTTCCTGGTGCTGACTCCTCTCCACATTCCTTTGCCCAGTGTATGGGGGGGGGGGGAAATCATCATTTCATTTCTCTGTTCTATAAGCAAGAAGCAGAGATTAGAAAGAAGGCAAAAGTGCAAGAAATGTTCCCCAATAGGGTCTCCTGGGGACACGTGGGAGCAACCTCAGATGCTGGAGGCTTTGTTCAGTTGATGCTCTCAAGACAGACCTCCTTCCTCTTAAATATAAGCATCCAGGGTTTTGAAATGAGTAATCAGTAACAGGAGAGGGGGGAGGGGGAGGCAGACAGAGAGGGAGGGAGGCAGACAGGGAGGGAGGGAGGAAGGGAGAGAGAGAGATTTCCTGAGCAAGATCCACTTTAGTTAGCAAGGAGTATAATTTGCTGAACGGTACAAGCAAGTATAGAGAAGTTATGCTTTACACAGGGGACAAGGTCAAACAGCAGTGGGCCTCTGGCCCTATGACTGTAGCCAACAGAGTTAAGAAAACAATTCTTTCCGCAGAGGCTGAGAAGAAATGTTGGCATAGCCTGTTTCTCCCCCCCCCCCCCGCCCCAATTTTTATTTCAGAGGTTTCCGGAACCCTAAACCCCCAGCTCCATCCTCAGAGCTTGAGGTGATCCTTTGGTGGCAAACACCAAGCCAGGAGCTTTAGGCTGGAGAGTCTGGGACGGGGCAAGGGGGGGGGGCGGGGTGAGGTTTCTCTGCTCCGAGCCGTTCCGGGATGTCTCCTCAGTTCGAGGTTTGTTCTATTTGCCGTTCCCTGCGGGGAGACTCCAAAGGCTGCAGAAATCTGGGCGCCCGCTTGCTCGCTTGTCAAAAAGCAAACTGTCTTCACATACTCCAAGAGTAACATCCCAGTCTAGGAAGAGGAAGGAAAGAGGCAAAATAAATAAAACCAGTTAATGTTGTAGTTAACTTGCAAATCAAGTAAATCTGTTGGTGCCGTATTTGAGAAATAAACCACGAGAGCGTCACAGCAAACACACACTTCTGAACGTCTTCATTTTGATTTAATGGTATATCAGCGTCAACTATCGCTTCCTCTGCTGGTACACTCGGCCTGATGCCGCGGGAGGAGGGTGCCCATGTTTATCACCGAGTGAGATGACTAATTACACCTTGTCAATCACCGGCTATGAAGACATAAAACCAGCGCGCACAATGAAATAGTTGCCTGCAGCGTCAATTAGTTGGCGATTCCGAGGGTATTTGCGTGGCCCTGCTTTGGCCGTCTCTAATAACGGGACGGAGCATCGAGAACAGCTAGCAGATCAATCACACTGGTTCCGCTGAGGCCCGCGCCCTCCTCCCGTTCTTAACCTCCTCCGACTTGGCCTCACTTTCTCCCTACGCAGGGCACTTCCTCCCTCCGTGGCCCCGGCTCGGTGGCGCCGCCAGCCACGGGAGCCCCGGGAAGTTTGTGCACAGCATCTCCGCTGCCGGCAGCCGGCAGCCCCGTAGCCTTTTGGGAGCGCTGGGGCTGGTGGCCCTTTTGTTGAAGGAGGCGTGGAAGGAGAGCTTTTGTTCTGAGTTAGTCACGGTGGCCGGCTGGAGGCTGCTACCTCATTATGCGCCGGGTCTGCTAGTCTGCTAGTCTGCCGGGAAGCAGATGGTGGGGAAGTAGGCAGCGGCGACAGTGGCCAGACCTGAATCCGGCTCACCTGTCACCTTCCACAAAATGCAGGGTACCGGGAGCTGAGGATGCTTTACCTCTGACGGGGGAAGGGGGTCGAGGGACAGACCTTCCTTGCCTCTGTGAATGTCCCAGGTACCTGCCCTTGCCTGATTCGCCTCTCCAACCCCCCCCCCCACCTCGGCCTCTCCCTAGGCTGCAGCTCCTCAAACTGTGTAAATGTCACTCACGTGTCAGGATCTGTGTTTACAGCCTGTTCCTGGCCTTGCTTAGTCTCCCAGGACAGGGCAAAGCAGTTGCGCGACGTCCCCCAGTGATTAGCAAAGTTAGCGGCCTCTGAACTCAGGGCCTGTGTGCCCAGATGCTGCTCGGTTGTGGGAGATGCGCTTCAGCCTCTAACTGACGTTTTTTTGCGTCTAAGCCGGATGAGGAGGGATAAATAGAGAAGCGCCTTGGGTGGCTATTCCAACCACCCGGAGAGTTCAGGCCAAGGATTGATGGAGACTGCCGGTCAAAGAGGTGGGTACCGAATGATATACATCTCTTTATGAGTATAGTTACCTGCCCCCTGGGTAGCTCTTAGCAAGGATCACTGAGTACCCCCTCCCAAGCTACGAAGCAGTCCCTTGAGTCCAGCCAGCACCAACGACACACATTCGAAGCTTTTTACAAAAAGAGTTTCCTACCCTTTCAGTGACATCCTGATGAACTCAGATTCATTTTTCATTTCATACTTTCATTGACAAAAGTGTCCCAGATATCCCAGAATAACGCGCCTGTATATTCCTAGGTGTATATTCGAGGTGATCTTGAACCAGGGTCTATGAAGGCACTGAATTTGACTGTGTAAATGTGTGAATATTCTCATTCCTGTCTTGTCTTTAGATTGATGGTCTTTCCCTCAAGTTCAATGTTTGTTTTTGTTTCTTGTTTTGTTTTGTTTTGTTTTTTTGAGACAGGGTTTCTCAGTGTAGCTTTGTAACTTGTCCTGGAACTCGCAGAGATCCGCTTGCCTCAGTCTCCAGAGTGCTGGGATTAAAGGCATACACCACCAACGCCTGGCTTAAGTTAGGGCATCTTTTAGCGCTTAGCATACTTAAACACAAACGAATAATTTGAATAGCTTTTGCAAATACACCTGCTGATAGGAGCTTGGAGGTTAAGTAGGCTTGCCTGAGCAAGTAAGTGTTGGTGTGGGGTGTTCAGATGCCTCTTTGGGTATGATGTGCACTTGTAGGCACCCCCTGTACATTAGTGCTACTGTCTATGATTTTGCCAACAAAGCTAAAATTTGTTCTGGCTGTATTTTTGCCAAAAGAGATGAAATTGAGCATTTTCACACATGGACACAAACTTGGGCACCACAAGTGTAACACATATTCATGGGCCAAAGTTTTGCACAGTATGTAGAAAGTGTGGTTTCATGCTGCCCTATCTGTGTGCCCTGTGAAATAAACTGCGGAGGTTCTGGCTTCCCTTTGGTTGTGCCAGGCAGACTACACTTCGCCCCCCCCCCAACAGAGTATTAAAGCTAATTGCAAATGAACCCAGAAGAAAAGTATCTGTAACTGACTTGCCCTTCTCTCTCACACACTCAAAACCACTTTTTACTTCCCAATCCCTGTTCAGCAGACACCTGGGCCATTGCCCTGGTTTCAGCCAAGAGACTCGGTCTGGGCTGTCGGTTTGGATTTGCTGGGCAGCTCATGTTATCGTTGGTCTTTGTGTAATCAGGTTTCTGGATGGACCCAGGTACCATAAGGTGTAAGTGCGCGGGGGTGGGGGGTGGGCTGTGCTAGTGACATGGAGTGCCCTGTGTAGGAAAAGAATGGCCCCTGTGGTCTTTAAGAACTGCCAAGTGTATCCCAGAGTGAGAAGGTTTTGAATAGGAAAGGAAAAAGAGGGGGGCAATTAAGGAATTTGCTGAGTGGCTACTATGTTCCAGGCATTTACCATTCATTTCTGTCTTTCATCACACCCTTCAAACACCCAAAAAGATAGGACCTACTTGTTTTCCATTGAGAAAGTCTGTGTAAGAGGTTGAGTCACTTTTTTGGTCTATACTCCACATACATGGGAGAACTATAGACTCCTTGCGTCTTTTTCTGCTTTCCACCACTCTTCCAGATTGAAAAGGTTTGGGGGGGAAACTCAGGAGCAACATGTGTGACGGTGGGTGCAGTCCCTGGCTCACTTGGAGCGAGGATATGCTGGCTGGCCTTCTATCCGTGGGAGTCGCTGCTCCCGCGTTTCTTAAGCCTGGTCCCCAGGAGGCCTGCGTTGCTGCCCTCATAGTTGGGAGAGCAGCTCCCCAGACCAAATCCGAGCTGGGTGGGAAGCAGCCTAAGGCTCTCAAAACTGTTTTCTGTGGCGTCTTCTCTGCCCCTCTACCCCAGGTTCCAGAGGCAAAAAGGGAGAATGGAGACCTCCTGAAGCATCCTTTGGCTGTGCTTTCTTAGGATAGAGATGGCAGGAAAGGTTTAATTTTCCTTCCAGAAGAAATGCGGGAAACTGTTTGCAGCTTAGAAGCTATAAACCTGGCGCTCTCCTTCCTCCCTCCAGCCTCCTCCTCCAGCCTCGCCCACCAGCTCCCACCACCTCTTCTCTCCGCTCCTTTCCTCCTCTAGCCTCTCCCCTCCCTCTGGGTCTCCCGCCTTCCCGGAGCACGCGCTGCCAGGGCCCGGGGCGCTGGGCGGCCAATGGCACGGCGGCAGGACGTGATGTCAGGCGCGGCTGTAGAAAAGGCGCGGAGGCTTGCGTTAGCGCGGACAGCAGAACCCAGGCTGAGGCCAGCGCGCGCTTGAAGAGCGTAGCGCGCCGCTGGGCTGTCGGCCCGCGGCTCCTCCTCCCACTCTGCTCCTCCTCCTTTTTCTCCTCCTCCTTTTTCTCCTCCTCCGCCTCCTCCTCCTCTTCCTCCTCCTCCTCTTCAATTCTCCCGGTGGCTCGGCTCAGCTCGCAGGCTTCGCAGAGACCCCCTACTCCAGTTCGCCTTTGGGGAACACACCCCGGGGGTAAACAGACGTCCAGGCATCTGGGCCGCCCCGAGCACCTGGCTGTTCCTGGGTGAACTCGGTCTGCAGCCGCCGCCGCCTGGGGCAGAGTTTGTGCCTCTGATTTGTGCCCTGGGCCCCGGAGCCTAGCAAGCGATGCCCGAGGCGTAAAAGCGCCCTCAGCGGGCGCCGACCTCTGCCCTGGTCTCCCGCCCTCACCTCACCCCCTGCCCTTGTGACCCTGGCTTCGGCGCCGCCGCCCAGGCGCCCCACGATGTAGCTGCCCCCACGCCTCGGCGGGAGGCGTCCTGGCCCCGGGGGCCCGGGGCCCGGAGCCTGGCCTGGGGGCGAAGCCGAGCTCGGGCGGGGCCGGGGCCGCGGTGGCGATGCACCGGGTCGGTTAACGCCGGGAGCGCCAGGCAGCTGAGGCAGGGGGCAAGCCCTTCCTCCGGGCAGCCGCGTCCCCGGTCCCGCCGCGATGCTGTTCCACAGTCTGTCGGGCCCCGAGGTGCACGGGGTCATCGACGAGATGGACCGCAGGGCCAAGAGCGAGGCTCCGGCCATCAGCTCCGCCATCGACCGCGGCGATACAGAGACGGTAGGCGCGCGGCTGTGGAGTTGGGACTGAGAGCTGGGACCTGGCGAGGCCGCCCGCGCCTCTGCTCCCCGAACTTTGGGGAGAGTCCTTCGAGACACACTGAGACTGGGATCCTCAGTCTGGGTTCGAGGCCTGGGGGCGTCTGGCTCAGCGGAAACCTGCTGGGGCGGAGAGGGAGTCAAGCTTGAAACGCAGATCTGGACCCCGAGGGTGGAGGAGACCATTGCTCTAGAAGTGGAAACCCGAGGCCGAGCTCTTCTCCCTTGGCCAGGCGCTTCAACCCACAGTCCTGATTCTTCCCTACTGCCGCTGGCTCCTCAGGAAAAGGGAGCCCTGTGGCTCTAGCTGGTTTGCGTCGCTTTCAGTCTTCTGGTAGTCGGGCTCTCTCCCTAACTCAGTTTCAGTGCTCTGGGACTTCTGGACTTGGAATTTTCGTTGATCATGCCCTCGCATTCCTAGCTGGCCAAATTTGGCCAGGCAATGGTTTGAAGTTCAGGCTCTGGCCTGACTACTGCGGAAGGAGACTCCATTAGGTTCTCTGTACCTGGCTCGGCCATCCCGGCCCCAAATAGCCTCCCCCGGGGCCAGACTAGCAGACGCTGCCTAAGCAGCGACTGCAGAGTGACCTTTAGAGACCGAGGAGGTGAGAAACCTGGCCCAAGCTTCTCCCTTCTAGAATGAGAGTCGCAGCTCAGTTACCTCCCGGTTTCCCCTGAGCCTTTCTTTCTGGGTAAAGCCCGCCTCTGCTCCTTAGTTTGGTCAGGAAAAGATTCAGATTGAGCCTGCCTTGCACCCTCTTGGAAGGTGGCCCTATATCCCACTCAACCTTCTCCCAAGACGCAAGTGGGACCCATCTGCTGTGGCAGAGGAGCCAGAAGTTGCTGGACCTGTCCTGGCTGAATCTTTGGTTTAAGAATTAAGGGACTACTGAGGCTTGGGGCCAGGAACTCTGCTGCCTTTCTGAAGAGCAGTGTGTGTCTAGCGAGACTTTTAATACTCATCTTACTTTACCCCTTACCTCTTTCCTGGAGCCCAGCGCTTTTAATAATCAATTTGAGGAATTTCTTTGGAAAGCTTACAGAAGAGCCTCCTCTATCCTAATATTTAAATGCAACGGGACCATTGGGGCCAAGGGCAGGAGGGCAGGAATAGAGGGACCTAAGGCCTGAGAGCAATTTAGAACTGGAAACTGGGGCTGCAGCTAGAATCGGTGATCGTCTGGAGCTGAGCTGCACAGCTTGGGCCCTTAGCTGCTCAGATTGGGCCTGCTAGATGGAGAAAATGGGCTGCCCTTTCAGACTTCCCTCTGGGTGAATTTCAAGGCTAGCCCGGGCCAGGGAAGGAGCCCAGGGCGGGTTTTCTTGGTGGGAGCAGAGACTTTGGCTTACAGTGTTTTGTCTTCCTGCTTTTGTAGACCATGCCATCCATCAGCAGTGACCGAGCTGCGTTGTGTGCTGGCTGTGGGGGCAAGATCTCTGACAGATACTACCTGCTGGCAGTGGACAAGCAGTGGCATATGCGCTGCCTCAAATGCTGTGAATGCAAGCTCAACCTGGAATCAGAACTCACCTGCTTCAGCAAGGATGGAAGCATCTACTGCAAAGAAGACTACTACAGGTAGATCCCAGACCCTGCTGGCCTCCAGGGACCAGAACCTCCTTTCTTCCCTTCTCAGCAGAGGTTGCCCTACTACCCAAGACTCATTCTCCAAGCCATCACCCACCGAATTTGGTGACAACTTCCTACATTATCAATTTGAGGCACTCTTGGAAAGAATCATGAAGTATAGGAACAGAAAAGCTGAAGTGAGCCTCCTCTCTGAGTTTAGGGTGCTCAAAATCTCAGCTTGGGTGGGGAAGGTCCTCATACTTCTTTCCCTTTTGAAGTTTCTTGACTCAACCAGAAGGGATAGAAGTAGACACCCCAAAACTCTGGTGGCCTGGCTGATGTGAAGCCAAGTTGGAGGGAGAGGAGTGCACAGCAGTTCTGGGTCTTTGGGGGTCATGATGGTAAAAAAAAAAAAAAAAGTTGGCCAAGGTTAAAGAGTAGGAGCCAAGGTCCCTCTTTCTCTTGCCCAGCTTTAGAGTTAGGGTCTATTTACATATCCTCTCTGTGTGTCTCTGTCTCTCTTTCTCCATCTCTGTTTCTTCCAAATTACAGCAGTGTGTAGGATTCCCAGGTGCTGGTCTGGAGGGCAGGGGCAAAGGTTGAAGAAGGGGTAAGTGAGGGAGTTTCTCCCCATTCTAAGTAAAGTCTTTCCTAAGACTTGCTCACATTTTGAATACAGTAGAATCTCTTGTGGGTGTGAAATGGTTAAGGGAAACTATTTCAGATAGGACCAAGTCTGGGTTAAAACCTAGTTCCCTTTCTACTAATCCTCTCAATCAAGTCCAGGCTGTCCATCTTGAGGAGGGGAACCCCCACCCCCACCCAGTGGCAGCAGCAACACCTGAAGGAGGAGTACAGGGATATGGGGGGGGATATCCAACCATTTGTCCCCACAGCCCCTCCCTCCTTGGTCCACACAGGCGGTTCTCTGTGCAGCGTTGTGCCCGCTGCCACCTGGGCATCTCGGCCTCAGAGATGGTGATGCGTGCTCGGGACTTGGTTTATCACCTCAATTGTTTCACATGCACCACGTGTAACAAGATGCTGACCACTGGTGACCACTTCGGCATGAAGGACAGCCTGGTCTATTGCCGCTTGCACTTCGAGGCACTGCTGCAGGGCGAATACCCGGCACACTTCAACCATGCCGACGTGGCGGCGGCGGCAGCCGCAGCTGCAGCGGCTAAGAGTGCAGGATTGGGCGCAGCCGGGTCTAACCCGTTGGGTCTTCCCTACTACAACGGTGTGGGCACTGTGCAGAAAGGGAGGCCGAGAAAGCGCAAGAGTCCGGGACCCGGGGCGGACCTGGCAGCCTACAATGCTGGTGAGTGCAAAACCGTCTGAAAGCCCTGGCCGCGTTGCGGGGAAAGATCGCCGCTTGCGTGGCTTACAGCGGAAACTGGCCCCTGGCTTTCCAGGCCCTACACATCAGGGTGCCTGGTAGAAGGGACTTTAGCCCTCCGGTTCCCAGCCTTTGATCCTTTGACGAAGTGTTAGGTGAGAATGCATTCGTTCATTGGTGATCCAGGTGCAGGACCTTGTCACAGAGAAATTGTATTTTGGAGACTCCTTTGGTTTGCCGAGAGCGCTTTGCTGTTCAGAAAGTGCGGGAAAGAAAGCAAGGCTGCGCCGACACCAAATAGACTCCGAATGCAGGGGCGGCCTGGCTGAGGGTAGGGAAACTACCAGAGCCAGGCTGCGAGGGTCCCAAAAGAAAACGCTGGCAGTGGTGAGGGCATCTTTGGTTTGGCTTGCAGCCGGGTCATAAGGAATGTTCCCAGGGCAGCAGGCTTAGAGCTGTTACTCCTTCTGTCCAGGGGGATCCTCAGGCATCGCCAGGTCTCGGATATTTCCTTTCCCCTCCTAGCAGGCAGCTCTTGCCCAAGAAGCTGGCGAGTCCTCACAGTGGGCTGCAGGAGTCTCAATTCGCAATTCTTTGAAGTGCGGGCCTTTCCTGAGAGGTTCTGTCGTACCCCCTTCACCAGCTCGGCCACGGGCAGTGGCGGAGGTTCTAAGGCCCCACAACATCTGCCCGAAGTCCTCAGGGCCCGCGGAGGTTTATGACTTCCAAACTAGTTTATTCGCAGTTGTTTCCCCTCTTAAGTTCGTAACAACAAATCGGCTGCTGAGATTTTTTTTCTTCCTCTTTTTTTCTCTAGTCTGAAGCAAAAGATGGGGTGGAGTAGGGGCGCAAACCAAAACAATCCCAAGGGTGTAGAGTACCTGCGGTGGGGAAGGAAGAAGTCAGGGTAGTTAGGATTTTAAATAGTCTGAACTTTTTAGGGAGGTAAACGAGGAACAAGTGGAGTAGGTCCTTTTTCCGCTCCAACGAAATTGCTGTGTAGAGGGGTCCTGGGACTGATTGGGGATGGGAAATGCAACCTCCGGGTGGATGAATGGTAAAGTGGTAGTTGGTTCAATGATTTAAAATTTGTCTTAAGTCTGCTATAGATGCCATTCTTTAGAGCTCACATTCTCATCATTCAATCCCTAAAATAAAGAGTAGATCCGGTCCAGGCCTGTTTCGATCCAAACCCAGCGGCCCTCAGGAGTGTCAGCCCTCTAAGAAAGAGTGTAGAGCTGCTCCAGGGTACCTGGTGTGTGTGTGGTCTTATTTTTTCCTTTTTCTTCCTTTTATTTTTTTCTCTTTTCTCTCTCTCTCTCTCTCTCTCTCTCTCTCTCTCTCTCTCTCTCTCTCTCTCTCTTTTCTTTTCTTTTTTGGACACACCAGGTTTGCACGCAGTTGTGATTGTGTGAAAGGAGTGAGGTGTTTCGAGATTTAATTTTGCTTTTGGTTGCTCAGCATTGTCCTTCCCAGGAGGCAGCGGCAAGATGTAGCTGGTAGCTGGGTTCCGAGAGACCTCTTTGCTACCACATTTTCCTCTTTGGCCCCACACTCTTTCCTGTCTGTCCTGTCTTTTCTGTTCTTTTCTTTCCGACTCTGTGTTTCTCAGTTTGTCTGTTCTTCTTGCGGGTGGGCGCAGGTCTCAGGCCTTGGCCCACCAGGACTCTCAGTCCTGGGAGGAGCGGCGCTCGGCCCACAGGCGGTGGCTGTGCGGCTCACTTATTCGGGGCTCCCCGGTTTAAGCTGGGAAGAGAAAGTGACTTTTTGCTTGTGGGGTCCAGCCAGGCTTCCCCAGATCTGTCTTTTGCCTCTTTCCTCTTCCCCGGGCGTTGGCCGGAGAGAAATGGCTGCAGTGGGTGCCTTGGGGCAGTTGGGGCTGCTGGGTGAGGCTGTGGACTGTGTGTGGGAGCAAGCGCGAGTGGAAGGGGAACGCGAGAGGACACCAGTTTGCTTGTGTAAGCGCCCTGTACCCAGGGGCCAGACATCAGGACACTTTGCAAACCCTCGCTCAGGTAGACTGTCTTGCCAAGGGAGGTGGGGCTGGGCATTTGGTGGGAAGGGGCGCCGCGAGGGTCCCTGGGGCCGGGGCTTCGGGAAGGGCGGCACAGGCTTCGGGTTGCGGACTTGGAAAGTCCTTCCGGGGCGGGAGCCGCCGTTGCCCTCCTCCCACAGCCCTTCTGGTCCCGGAGTGCCGCCCCTGCCCCAGAGGCGGGGTACAAATCTCCCCAACCCTGAGTAGGGCTGCAGATTTGCCAGGGCGCGCGATCTGAGGCCGGAGTCTGCAAGGGGCCCGAACTTTGAGGCGGCGGTTTGCGCCCTTCAGCTGCGAAACCAGCTGGCTGGCCTGGCCTCCCCAAGCCCACCCACTCTCTCTCTCTCTCTCTCTCTCTCTCTCTCTCTCTCTCTCTCTCTCTCTCTCTCTCTCTCTCTCTCTCTCTCTCTCTCTCTCTCTTTCTCTCTCTGTGTGTGTGTGTGCGCGCGCGTGTGTGTGTGCCTGGCGGCGTAATTACTGATTTGATTCCAATCCATTATTTAGACAATTGAACCTACAGTCTCTTCTTTAGTAAAATGAGGCAAAGTCAGATTTGATTACAGGTTCAGTCCCAGCGACAAGAGCTCGAAACCCGATGGGTTAATAACAGATCACGAGTAAATTATTCATGATTTTACGAGCTCTTTAGCTCCATTGAATCAGTCTAATTGAGAGGAAAAAAAGAGTGGGAGAAAACCCTGGTCCTCCCCCTCCTCTCAGCCCCTCGCTCCTCCCCAGATTCGACCTTGGGGAATCCCCACATGGCCCCTGGCTTTAGGAGTTCGAGTGAGGGGTATCTGGGCAAGAGCGAATCCTCTGACCCCCTGGCTCCTTCTGCTCCAACCCAGCCTTCACCGCCCACAGGGTCTTGGCTTGGCCACCTTGGGCGGCTCCTCAGCTCTTCTCTGCAGGCTGGACTTCTAGCCAATGGTCATTTGGAAAAGTCTTCTCCTTAAGGGCCCTTGTCTCCTTGAGCCCCGGGATTAGATTTGTCACGAGGATTCCCACCAGATGTCCCTCTTATTTCCAGGACTCCCCATTCATCGCCCCCAAACCCCGTATTGCCATAGCTTTCTCTATTCCCCAACTCCTTTCCCTTGGCTCTGTGCATCTTCCTGCCCTCTCCCCCTTCCATTCTCTAGCTTTCTACCACTGTCATCTCTGCCCTCCTCCTTGCCTCCCTCCCTCCCTTCCTCCCTCTCTCCCTCTTTTCCTCCCTCCTCTCCAAACCACCTTCCCCCACTGTAGGTTCAGGGCACCTCCCTTGGGCCTACAGGGCGCCTGGGTCCCCATGGAGCTCATTAACAGCAGTGAGGCCCAGGTGGGGGCTGGGCAGAGGGAGGAGTGCAGAGATTGTGTGTGTGTGGGGGGGGCTGCCCCACCCGGGCAGAACTGAGGTCTGGGAGAAAGGAGAGGTCCATTCCCTGAATGGGTTAAGTGGGGATGGCTAGTGGGAGTCATAGCCTGATCCCCTTTAAATTCTTCACTCTTGGTGTTCTGAATGGGAACACTGGTTGGAGGAGGAGGGAACATCTGGGTGCTTTGGTACACCTGCATACAGATCCTGATAGAGTGACACCCCTAGCTTACAGCTTCAAACTTAGAAGGACCCAAATCATCTGAGTTTTTTTAATGGAGCCAGTGGCATTTGGGCAAAGGGAGAGTGGTGTCAGGATAGCCACTTAATTCTGAATTTAGGGCAAAATTTTAGAAATGTCCTGAGCAGCAGCATATAAACCTTAGATAAAATTTTAGTATATTTTGGGCCCATGGAATTTTTGTGACATATCTAAATTATCTGTTATTTATCAGAAATTCAAATCTAAGTGGACACCATTTACATTTATTTGCTAATTTTGACCCCTCTGTCCTAGGCATGCACTATTGTGAAAGATACCTTTCTGGATTCTTAAAGAAGGGGTGACAGGATGAAATGGGGGTACTGAGGGTTCATGTGTATCCTCATCAGCTGGAGAGTTACTGACTCAAAGTTTCTAACCCCTCCTCCAAGAACCCTCCCCAGACCCCAGGCAGGCTCCCTGAAGAGCCAGCTGGAAACTAGGGACTCCAGTGTTGACTCTGGGCTCAGCCTTCACTAGTGTGAGGGACTTCCTTTCTTTGGCTTTAGTTTCTTCACCTCTAAAGTGGGAACAGTGACATATAGAAAGCCAGAGCATAAGGTAGGCATCTAATGTGTGTTGCCATCCTCCTCCAATTTCTTCCCCTTACAGTAAGAGCTTACCTACTGTGCTCTCTCTGAGGCAGCTGAATTTCTCCTAAAATTGGGGACAATAGCTCACAGGACAGTGCTGAAGATTAAATTACAAAATGTAATTCCCAACTGTAGGCCTGGTGTTGGAGGCCCTGGAGCACAGTCAATCCTTTGGGGAGGGAGAATTGATAGAAGTGGAATGAAATCTAAGCTGTCAGTCAGCAACTTCTGGGTGCTAGTATCATTCACTGCTAAGAGTTTTCCTTGGCAGGTGCTTGAGAAACAAAAGAGTACCGGCCCACAAACTCTATCAGAGGCTCAGAGGCGGGCTTGCTGGCTTCTATTTGTGAGCCACTGTCTCAACAGCTGTAAAAAGAGTTGCTTTAAGTGTCCAGTAGCTGTGTGCTTGCAAAGAAAGCCTTTTAGGGGCCAGCAAGCTGGCTCAGTGGGTCAAGGGGCTTGCTGCCAAGTTCATAGAACCTGAGTTAAATCCACAGAACCCTTCCCCCCCACCCACAACATGAATACACACAAAAGATAGTCTTTTATTTAGTCCAGCATCTGGAATCCTAAAAGCCATCATCAACAAGTCTCCACTGGGGCACCTTTTGCAACATGATGGTTTCTTGGTGTTTTATTTTGTTTTTCTAAGAATTGGGTTTTAATTCACTATTTCCTAAGCAGGTCACATTTTCAGAGAGCTTCATTTCCTCCATCTTCCCATTTCAGCGTTGTGTATGCACACAACAGGGCTCCCAGACTAGGTGTGTTTGTCAGTGGTGGTGAGGGTATGGACTCAGACCTGGTGGACTAGCAGAGTCTGGAAACTCACCTGCTGATTCTGTGTCCCTTTCACAGCACTGAGCTGTAATGAGAACGAGGCTGAACACCTGGATCGTGACCAGCCCTACCCCAGCAGCCAAAAGACAAAGCGCATGCGCACCTCCTTCAAGCACCATCAGCTTCGGACAATGAAGTCTTACTTTGCCATTAACCACAATCCCGATGCCAAGGACTTGAAGCAGCTCGCTCAAAAGACCGGCCTCACCAAGAGAGTCCTCCAGGTCAGCTGGGCTGGGGTGGGGGCATCTGCAGCTGCCAGGACCTGAGGCAGAACCTCCCACAGAGCAGGACTTTGGAAGACCCTTCTGCCTGTCTGCCTTTTTTCTCCCTTCATAGCCTAAATCTTAGGTTGTTAACCTTTTTGCCTGCTGTCACATATTCCCTATTTCCATCCTTATTTTTTCTGTGTGGCCCTGTCTCCATACTTGGTCTTTCTTCTTCCTTCCTTCTTTCCTTCCTTCCTTTCTTCCTTTCTTCCTTCCTTCCTTTCTTTCTTTCAACCATTCTTAGTTACCATCTATTATTCAACATTCTCCAATCTGCTCTAGTTTTTAAGAGTTTCCGATGAACCTAAAGCCCTCATGCTTTGTCCCCACCCAAGGGATGGTTAGTGGCACAAGTTGCACCTGTCTTGCTTTTTGCCTCCATCCATCCATCCATTCTTTTCTTCTGGCAGCTCAAATTTGTCTCCTGGGTTGTTGTTATTTGTTTGTTTATTTTATGTTGTCTGTCTCCTAGACTTTCCAGGAAACAAGGTTTGGTGGTGGTATAGTGTGCCTGTAGATCTGCTGGGTATAGTGGTTTGTCTACCTTCGAGGTTGGGGAGAGGTGGCTTAGTGTTTTGGGGGGCCAATGGAATTGAGCTTATGTAAGGGTGCTTTCTTGATTGCAGGACCTGGAACTTTAATGGGATTTCCACACACCCAAAGAATTTGAGAACTCTAGTCTGGGGCCCAAACTTGTGGTACCATGTGGGGACAACACAAATTTCAATTTTTCTGCTCTTCTGATACTCATTCCCAGAGCTAGACAAACCTCTTATGTCTCCTGAGCCTCAATTTACTCTATGTAAAATGCACAGAAGTCACCCACCCACACCACAGGTTGGGGGGTACTACTGGGGTGTTGTAGGTGACAACTGAATTATCATGCTTTATGTTTAACAGATGCTGGTTAAGGATAACATTTAGTTTTGTGAGTAACTCTAAACAGTCCTGGTTGTTAGATCTCAGTTATCCCACCATACAAGGCAGAGCACCCCTGCACCCCTCAACAAAAACAAAAAACAAACAAAAAATCCACAAAAATCTGCAAGACTATATAACCTGAATAGGTCCTGGGAGTGAAGTTCAGGCCACCATGAGAGATCAAAGCTGAGAAATTGACACTGAGGAATTGACAAATCAGAAGGGTTGTGTAGCCTCTCAAGAAATTTCCAGTAATCTGTCAGAAAGGAAAGCAAAATAAAATAAATCTGTGGGGTTGGCGGTAGTAGCAGTGGTGGTGGCAACAGCTGGCTGTGGCTGTGACACAGGTCTTAGTGATCTGCAGATCATGATGGAGCCCAGAGTCCCAGTTGGGTGCGTGGGCAGTCTCTGGGCACCCAGTCAGCATTGGGCTCCCGGAACAGCAAAGGGGCTGTAGGAAGTCCAAAAGCATACACCCTGCTGCTCTCCTAGGTCCCTGGTGTTTTGGCTGTTTACTAGTCTTTGGTTCCCAGGCCTGGATTCTGGGGAACCCCTGGTGCTTGCATTTCCTTCAGACTTTTCAATCTTGGGGCTAGGTCTGGGACCCTACTTGGAACCTCCTGCTGCCCCTCCTCCCCTGTCCCAGGCCCTCCTTCCTTTAGTTCAGGGCCAGCCTGAACTGAGGACATAAGACTTTTCTATTTAGTGGCTTAACCCTTTCCAGATTCTTCGTGGGAAAATGGGGGGAGATCTGGAGTTCAGAAAAACCTGGCCTCAGAACGACCCCCTGTTTTATTTTATCTGCTGTGTGTCTTGCACAAATTAATTACCTTCTCTGAGCCATAGCTTTCCCATTTGTAAAAAAGGTTACCAAATAGGGCACATCTCTCTCCCAGATGTCTAGGTTAAATGAAAGTTCACAGTTCAGTCTTCACACAGAGGATCTAACCCTGCTGGTGTGGAGGCAGGAGGATTTACAGCTTAGCTGTCTCTTACTCTTTCATCTACCAAGAGTGGTGCTAGGTACTGGAGCCTTGGATGAACTGGCTCTGAAGCCATTCACCTGTACAAGTACACATCAGTTTCCCTGAATGTAATTAGTGTGTGTCTGTGTCATTAGGTGCTCCACATCAAGTGTTAGGATTATCCTCTGCACAGTGCAGATAAGTACATGATGGTCCCCAAAGCCACCCTTTGCTGGTAACTGTCTAGCTAACCACAGAGTATCCTCTCCTTTGAGCCATCCAGGCTCAGGACATGTAGGCTAGGTCCTTCCAGACCTCAACCAATCTGCTGCACAAATCCTTTCTGTTCCCTAAGAGTCTAACTAGTCATGATTGCAAATCGTCTTTCTGGCTGTGCATCTCTCTCTTCTTCATCTTTCCTGACTACTTTACAGTTGAGATTTTAAATATTTGCAAGATGTAGTGACTTGCTAGGAGATAGAAAATACAGGTACTACAGGGCAGAACTTCTCACCATCACCCTTTCAATGGGGTCTGGGCTGGGAGTGATTTGGGGTGAGACTGGTGATTTGGGAAGTGATGGACTGGTTCAGATGGCCCCCTCCCCAGGGTTACCTGCTCTGGGGCTAATTCTTCCTCCATGACCCTGAGCCCCCACCTGTGAAATCCAAGGAATATCTTGCACAGGGGGGAATCTGACTTAAAAGAACAAACATTTAAATGCTAATGGTTCAAAACCATTTTTCCTATTACTAGTTAGTTGTCATTAGCCCAGGAGAGAATTCTGAGGGGTTCAGTAATAACATGTAGGGGGGATGTTCTGAGCTGGTGCAGGAAATGGTGAGGGCTTCCCTGAAGGGGAGTTATAAAATAGTCATCATCCTGTCTGGCATTGGACAACTTCAGGTTGGACGCAGACATGCTGGGAGGGGGTTTCACAGATGACTTGCTTTCTTAGTCACAAATCCAAGCCAGGATCTTGTACATGCTAGGCAAGTGCTCTACCACTGAGCTCTGAAGGAGAGGCTACCCCAGCCCAGGGAGGTGGAGACACTCCCCATTCACAGCAATTTAATGACAGAACTGGGGCTACAAGTTAAGAGCTCTTGAATTCTATCCAGTGCCCATTGTTTTTAGTTCCTTGAAGAAATCTTTTTTTAAAAGTTCACAAAGTAATAGAACCACCATGCAGACCCATAAGACAAATAGGGGAGATATGACACTGTGACTCATAACTTTGGTCAGGGTGAAGGATGGGCTTAAAGGGATCCACATCTTAGTTCTGCCTCTTCCTGGCTGTGCCTTAGTCCCCACACCTGTAAATTGGTCTACCTTGCAGGAGTACTACAATGACCATGAGTTAAGATGGACCAAACACTCAGAACTCTGCTCAGATGGTGCCTGGCTTTATTACAGAGTAAGAATGGCCACCATTTTCTTCATGAACTGTAAAACCAAAGGCTGTAATTGGGTTGTTATTTGTTTACAAAGCAGATTCTTGTTGTTTTTGAGATACAATCTAGTTCAGGTTGGCCTTGAACATGATAGGTAGCAAGGATGACCTTGAACTCCTGGTCCCTCTGTCCTCCACCTGTTAGCATGTGGTACTCCATCTAGTTTATGCTGTGCAGGGGACTGAGCTCAGGTTTGATGCATGCTAGGCAAGTACTCTATAGATGGAGCTAGATCCCCAGATTTTGGGGTGTCCTTTCTTACTCTAAAGCTTAGGCTAGCTTGGTACTCATTCTATAGTCGCAGGACTGGCCTCAAACTCATGGTTATCCTTTCCTCAGCTTCCTGCTGTAATTATTCATCCTTCTTTTTTGTGGAGTTGCTGTGTCATGCTTCCCAGGCTATCTGGTTGACACCAATGATATGCTAAGAAATGTCATGGTATCTCTAGACATGAGGCTTTACCTTTTGGGTGGATTACTTAGTGTTCCAGGATATTTGCTGATGTGGTGGTAGGGCCTTGTTTTGTCATCCAGGCTGTCCTGGAACTCATAATCTTCCAGTCTCCTTGCTTTTGCCTCCCAAGTTCTGGGATTACAGGCATGTGCCACCATGCCTGTCTCTCCCAGCCTTCGTGATGAAAGCAGTCTGAGGAAGGAGGTTCCTCAGACAGTGGGAGTCTAGAAAGGGGCACACCACAATGGGCACACCAGGGTCTGTTCTGTGTCAGGCAGAGGCACTCATTCTCTGTGGCATTAGCTGTGTCCTGATGTTTCTATTTCTGAACTTAGCCTTGCTGTCCCCATAGTATAACCCCAGTGCTACTGTGTGTTGTGTAGAGAAGAGCTTGAAGCAGCTAACCAACCAGGGCTCTGGCTTTTGGAGGATGGATAGGTGAAACAGATCATGTATGTGCTACTCACAGCTGCCCTGGGATCTCAGTCCATCCAAACCACAAGAAACCACAGAGATGTGGTGTGTTTCAACCCTCTTTCCATACATGCAGGAAACTGAGGCAGGCCCAAAGGAAAGGGACTAGTCTAAGTTCACCTGGCTTGTCAATGGCAGAGTCAGGCCTGGAATATTCATTCTACTGCCAAAGTTGCTTCATTCATTCATCCATCCGTCCGTTCACTTACTGACATACTCAGAGTAGGTAGGGAGAACACAGACTTTTTTTTATGGCAAACAGTCCTGCTTTCAATCAGCTTAGCTGCTGTGTGATCATAGGTAAGTAACTTAAATCTATAAAATGGGACTAGTAATAGAAACCACATGCCTGGATTGTCTCAGGCTTTAACCAGGGATAGTACAGGATGGCAAGGTGCCTGATCCACAACACAAGTCGTCGTTAGTATCATCATCTCTCATGTGAGCCCCAGCAGCAGCATTATGCATATTACCAGCTTTTAATCTTCATCTTCTCTGTTGGACACTTAGGGTTGGACAGGGGCCCTGTCGTCAACATTCTTTAGGAAGGGGATTTTTTGAAATTCCTACAGTTGGAGTTTGGTGAAGCCTCACATGGGCTGACTGCACAGAGTAACCAGGTTTACAGTTGATTTTAGACTTCCACTGAACAGATCCCTAGTGCTTGGGGTCCTGTAAAGCTGAGAAGGCAGCTGTGAAGATGGTGTCATTGTTTACACATGAGCTGTTGGGGCAATGCCTGGGAAATAGCTAACAGGCAGCAGCTAAGGGCTTCCAGCCTTCCCAAGGTCCTGGAGCCCCTGAGGATGAACAGTGAACCCACTCCCAGAACCCAAAGGGTTCCACTCCAGCTCCTGCCCTCATGTTCAGGCCAGGACAGTGGCTGGGGAGCAGCACCAGGCCCTGGCCTTTCTCACTGCTAGACCTTCATTTGACTGGGAAGAAGTCTCTCTTAGGCCTGTCTCATCCATTCCCCAGCTACCCTCTACTGCAGACTCTAGAGCCAGCAGGCCAACGCCTGACTAGATGGGCAATCTCACACTCATCTGTTAGCCCACCCCACCCCCCAGGACTGATAAGCTTTCTTAGGCAGAGAGCTGAGAAATGTGCTTTCTCCTTGAGGGGAATTTGTGTTCTAGGGAACCAGCTTTGCTCCCCTTGAACTGGGGAGCATCTCTGTCCTTCCTGCCAAACTCAGCTGCTAATTGAGCCTGAATTGTGTCAGGATGTTTGGGGGGAGCTTGAGGTCACAGGCTTCTTGCAGCTGGGGTGGTCCTGAGGGTGAAGTCAGGAGCTGGCTCATCCCACCCCTGCCAGAGACATGGGAAGACACATCTGGAAACATGCAACTGGACAGCCTAGAGTCTTCAGAACCCCCAAGGCCCTTTGTTTTATGGGGAAATGTATGGCCAGGGGTTCTCTTACGCAGAAGGAAGTGAAGGGGCCCTGCCTTTTAGACTTCTTTGGGAAGAATAACTATCCCAATCCCCAGTAGTGACCTGGATTTCCTGTGCCTTCTATTAAGAACTGCTTGGGCCCCTGGGTACCTCAGGGTCTCTGCATTGCTGTGGTCAGAGGGCTGATGGGAATAGGGTGAGTTTTGTGCATATCATTACTGATATGTACAGGGTGTGTGTGTGATACTCCCCAGAAAAAGTGAAAGTAAACCTTTAGTCTGTCTCCCCAGTATTATCTGTACTCTAGGGCATGACAGATGCAACAAGAGCCATGTATTTAAACAGTTTTAGTGGTTACACTGAAACATACAAAGAAACTGATAAAATGAATTTTAGTATTTATTGTTTAATTCAGTATGTCCAAAATATCTTATATCAACATGAAATCAGCAATCTTCTCCATTCTTTCTTTATTGCTAAATCTTCAAGTCTCTTGTGTGCTGTCCTCCCTACAATGTCCACATTTGCCTAGTAGCGGTTCAAAGTCTCAGTTTCAGTACCATGGCAAGGGGCTCAGTTCAGAAATGTCCTGGCAAGAAGAGTAATTCATTCATAGACAGCAGGGAAAATAAAATTTAATTTCATTTTTGCAAGGAGAAAATGTGGCACAGACATTCTAGACCTCCTGCTGGGCCCTAGTTGGGTTGAGCCGCCCAGACCTGCTGTTTTTTCCTAGCCCCTCCCATCTTACCCTAACCAGTCCTCCCCTGTCGTCTCTTTCAGGTCTGGTTTCAGAATGCCCGGGCCAAGTTCAGACGCAACCTTTTACGGCAGGAAAACACGGGCGTAGACAAGACGTCCGATACCACGCTGCAGACTGGGACACCATCGGGGCCGGCCTCGGAGCTGTCCAACGCGTCGCTGAGCCCCTCCAGCACTCCCACCACCCTTACAGACTTGACTAGCCCCACCCTGCCGACTGTGACGTCAGTCTTAACTTCCGTGCCTGGCAACCTGGAGGGCCACGAGCCCCACAGCCCTTCACAAACGACTCTTACCAACCTTTTCTAATGACTCACTACTCCCTTCCCCCAAGTCCCCACGATTTCTTTAAAAAAGAAATTTAGTTGAATTCCAAGTGTATTTTAAAAATAGAGGCTTTGAGCAACTAACTAACCACGTTTTAGGATCTCGCCTGGAAATAGAGGAAAAAAAGAATTGTGCGTTGGGCTAATGCATCGGTGTGTGCTGAGGAATTACTTGGGAGATATATGTGCAACACAACATTTGTGTCCCTGTACAGTTTTGTGGACTGAGCGAGGAAAACAACAAATAATTTAAGTTGGCTGAGAGCTTCCGTATTTTCAAAGACTGCCACGTGCCTTAGGAATACTGTTTTATCTTCATACTTTGGATGAATTGTTCGGTTTTTTTTCCTCTCCCTCTTTTTCTCTCTGTATATTTATGACCAGAGCAAAATGTAAAAAAGAAAAAGAAAAAAACAACAAAAAAAGTTTGTTACTTTGAATAGCCCTAACAAGAAAAAGGAAAAACAAAAAAAAATCAACCTCCCTTCCAACGGTCGCTTTCTTGTTTTAGAATTTTAAGGTGGAAGTCTGTTCAGATATCAGAATTTGTAAAATCTAACCAGTAATAAAATCACTTACGGAAAAGTCTTGGTGCTGGAACTGTTTCATGAATAAGGATGGAGAGCTTTTCTGAAGCCCAGAAACCAATTCCAGGGTGTTCACCTATCTCCCAAAAGTTCTTCGGCTCATTTCTCTGTGTCAAGGTTTGGGCTGGTCGATGCCACTCTGAAGACATCCAGGTCTTGCACTTAAAGAATTGACAGCAGAGAGAGGCATGCATCATGCACTGATACACTAGGGTGTGTGTATGTTGGGGGGTCTGTTAACATCCATGCATGCATTCATTCATTTGTCCATTCTATCTGTAGGTGCTAGAAGTCAGAGGCCCTCACTGACACCTGTTCTTTTGCCCCTGGCAGGGATGAGAGTGTACTCAGTGCTGTGGAGACCTTGTGGAAATGTGAAGCTTTTCCCTGGGAGAAGTCTATGCTGTCACTCAAGAGCAACCTATACCCCAGGGTTCCTTATCTCTTGTTTGTTTCTCTCTCTTCTCACACACAGATTTTTAAAAATTTCACCAAGAGATGGGACTGGAGAGATGGCTCAATGGTTAAGAGCATTTGCTGGATTTGATTTCCAGCACCTACATGGTGGCTCACAACCATCTGTAACTCCAGTTCTGGAGGAGCTGATGCCCTCATCTGACTTCAACCAGATCCAAATACACACATGGTTCAGACATAGATGCATGCAAAACACAAAATAAAATGATTAAATCTAATAAAATAATAACATCGTCACTCCAGAGGCTGAGGCAGGCAGATCTCTGAGTTCTGAGGCCAGCCTGATCAATAGAGTGAGTTTCAGGCCAGCCAGGGCTACTCAGGGAAGTTCTGTCTTCAAAACAAAACAAACACCTTTACAAAATTCCCTCAAGAAGACAAAAAGCAAATAAATTTAGTTTTTCTATTGAAGCTTTAGGGAACCTTAAAAATCCAGAGAAGAGACCCAAAAGGACAGAGGTTTGGAGCCAGATAAAACAAACCTATGGTCTGGAACACGGAGCCTTGTAAACTGAGGGATGCTGTTCTGCCTCTTTGGGTCTCAGTTTCCTCTGCTGTAAAATACATAGTATGACTCCTGGATGGCAGATGAATGAGGGCAGAGTAAAGTATGTTCAAGGGGATGTGGCTGTCAGAGAGCTCTTAGTACTTTCTACTGAAAGCTGGGTGACAGGAGAGGTGAGCAGCAGGAATGGGTATGCATCCGGGTGCTGCCTGTGCCTGCAGAACAGTACAGGGGAGTAGATGAGTGTTTTCAAGGCTCATTCCTCTCTCTGACTTTCCGGATGCCAGCAGTCACCCCCAACATGCCCTCAGAGGGACATTGTAGCTGGGGAAGACTGAGCAAGTTGTCTGGGGGTTCTCTCCTCCTTCGGCCATCATGGTGGGGAAAGCAGATGGAGGAGGCAGCACTGGGCCTAGTGCTTAGTAACCCCTCCCACTCCTTCCTGACACCACCCATTCCCACTTCCCACACTTGAGATTAGTTTTTTTTAATTATTAAAAATATCTATTTATAGTATTATGTGGGTATTTTGTCTGTATGTATGTCTGTGCAACATGTGCGTGCCTGATGCCCACAGAGGTCTAAAGAGGGTGTTGGATTCCTTGGGACAGATAAGATGCCCTGTGGGTTCTGGGTATTGAACCCAGGTCCTCTGGAAGAGCAGCCAGTGCTCTTAACCACTGAGCCATCTCTGCAGCCTTTTCATTAGTTTTATTTGGTTTTGATCAACAAAGGAGACTAAGCAAGTTCACTTGCTTGGGGTCATGCAGCCAGGACCAGACCCCAAACTTCAAACTTAAGTAGATATACACTCAAACAAGAGCAGAGAGTGGCAAGGGGCATTACCTTTCTACCTGTGCATTGTCTACCAGGACCACACGAGGATCCCAACAGGGGACTTGGCCAATGGATGGCCACACAGACACAATGACTTCAATCACCCCCAGGGATACATGCTCAGGAACATTCTCAGAGGACCCTAGAGGGACAGACCCACCAGCTAAGGTGTTTCTCCCTAGACAGCACCTTATGAAGACTCAGGCCAGATGCTTGCAGACAGACATAAACAGGCCCAGATGTTTCCAGGTAGACTCAGCCAGACACCAGACCACCCCATACAGGGGGACCTGCACCCAGCCCCAGATGTGCATGCACATGAATGTGAGCAGTACCAAGACACCCCCGCATAGCCCTACTGTGCCCCTTGTTCAGGCCCAGGCAGAGCTGAGTCTGATTACTATCTCATCTGTCAGCGCTGCCACCCAGATGGAGAGGGCCTGGGAATAGTGCCCCGGGGTCCCCGCCCTGCTACAGGAGCAAGTTTAGAAGACAGGTCTGCTATTGGGCCAGAGAAGGGGACCCAGGAATTTGGTGTGGGAGGAGTTCCTCTCTCAGAATCCAGAATCAAAGAGAGAGAAAGGGTAACCAGCAAGGATTCTAGAATAGAAAGACAATGACAGAGGTATGCAGAGGCAGAAGACAGATACAGAGCCAGAGGGAAAGAGACACACATACCAGCAGCAGACACAGAAAGGACAGCACCATGATGAGATGGAGTTGGAGTGACAGAGAGACCAAGTGAAAGATGGAGCAGAACCACATTGGAAGCTGGCCTAGCATGTACCAAGCCCTGGATTCGATCCCCAGATGTGATGGGGCATGCCTGTGAACAAGCATTCAAGAGGAAGAGCCAAGAGATCAAACTAAAGGTCATCCTCCATAGTGAATTCAAAGTTTAGACTGTCTCAAGAAACAAGCAAAGCAACAAGAAGTGGTCTAACTGGTTTCACTTCCTTGGAGGAGCTCAGCCAGGGATATCTCACAGACCCTGAGGAGGGAGAATTCTCAGCATCTGAAAAGGAAACCCACGGTCAAACAGCCTCCAAAGCATCCATTGACAATGTCTGTGCTGATGTATGTGTAACCACGAGAGCACAGAGACACAGACCAGAGGAAGAAGAGCTTCTCGGAGGAAAGATTCACCGACAAATTGAATAAGAGAACTGACTCTGAAAGTGAGAGGAGGGAGTAACTGCATGTGCAAAGGTCCTGAGGTCCAGAGAGTTCAAGGCACAGTGTGACTAGAGCTTTCAGATCAAGGTTTAGGATGGTGGGAAATATGGCAGTATGCTTGGGTCATTATTGAAAGAGCACCAAGAAGGTGTGTATTCTTGAGTCAGGGCAGGAGGGATGAGGGGGGAGCTGAAGGGAGCTTTCAGAGTCAGGTAAGTCATGGTAGATAGGATTACTATTGCTATGATGAAACACCATAACTAAAGAAACTTGGAGAGGAAGGGGTTTATTTGGCCTACACTTCCACATCATAGTCCATCAGTGAAGGAAGTCAGGGCAGGAACTCAAGCAGGGCAGGGACCTGGAGGCAGGAGGTGATGGAGAGGCCATGGAGGGGTGCTGCTTAGCTGCCTGCTCCCCATGGCTTGCTCAGTCTGCTTTATAGAACCCAGGGCCACCAGCCCAGAGACAGTACCACCCACAATGGGCTGGGCCATGCCCCATCAATCACTAATTAAGAAAATGCCCTACATTCTTGCCTGTAGCCCATCTTCTGGAGGCATTTTCTCAAACGAGGAGCCCTCCTCTCTGATACTTTGTGTCGAACTTCCAGCACGGAAGAGGCTAGAGGGGATTGTCTAGCTGTGAGAAGAGGAAGATGACAAACAGAATGGGATAGTGCCTGGGAAGATGGGGTCACAGAACTCTCCCCCTAGTGGGAGAAGGCATTGGGAGGGGAAGAAAGAAGGGGGCAATGATCCACAGACTTGGGACTTGAGGTTTCAATGCCTCTAAGATATTAAGTATGTGCCAGAGAGGTGGCTCAGCAGTTAGGAGCACTGACTGTTTTTCCAGAGGTCCTGAGTTCAATTTCCAGCATAAATGGTAGTTCACAAACCATTTATAATGGGATCTGATGCTCTCTTCTGTCCTGTAGGCACTCATGCAGATAGAATACATACATACATATCTTTAAAAAAATCAAGAACAGGTCCATTTCATTATAACCCTTGAGTCCTCCCCATCCCCTGTCAGTGGCAGGAAGCATGAAAGTCACCTGGTACACTATTTCCTGTGAGTCTCCTGGGCAAGTTGGTCATGGGCTGGCATTTGTGGCTCTATGACAGTCAGTCTTTCCCAGGTCTTTGATGCGGGACTTGGATCTGCACCAATTTCTGGGCAATTGCACAGTGGGTAGGCTCTGCCCTGGGGCCTTCCTCATCATCTCCCCTTTCAAACTCCAGCCCAAATACCCCCCCAACCTTCCCTGATTAGCACAGCTATCTACCTCAAAATACTGTGCCTACCTTACTGTTCATCCCCACTTTGGACCAGCCAGTATCCAGCCTTGTGTAATCAGCACAGTGCAGCCAATGCCATCTCCTTGAGTAAGGTGACAAGGTGAGGACAAGGCTATAGGCATAATTCAACTCTCCTCCTTCTAGCTGCTGAAAAGTTCAAAACTCCATGTCCCTCTTCATCTTTGCACCTAGTACAATGCCTGGC